CTACAGCAACTTCACCGATACTCTCTGTATAAGCGTAATCATGCTCTGTGCAGTGGTTTTGTGACCCTGCTCTCATTTCAATTAGGCAAAAGCCTGTTTCATCTACTTTCTGCTGTAATTGATCAGTTTAGCGACAGACGCACAGAGCAACGCAACAGAGAGAGCACAGAATGAGGTCTGATTACAAAGCCTGCTTTCTCTTCTACTTTCTCTGCTTTTATCCGACTGTACTCTCTCTATGCTCAGTAAGAGTACATTGTTTCAGTCTCACAAAGTATCATATCACAGGAATCCTATACCTTTGGGTCTAGCTGCTTCCCCAGACACACACACACATGGTCGGTGGGTCAGCTACGATCTGGGTAGGGTTAACATTAGGATTGGTCTCAGTAGCTCTGACCTCAGTGCCTTTTGTCTTCAGGAACTCCTGTGAAGTGAAGAAGCTGGACAACCAGACTCCATTACAGAACGCCTGCGGAAAAGTAAGGGTTCATGTTCTTTACCAGCTCCTCAAACAGGAAATGCTTCACTTGTCTCCTTTACTCTTTTCTCATCAAGACAGCAAACTTTTTTTACGTTTAAAATAATGTTTTTCAGATAAATGTGTGTATATTTGCTGTCCTTGGCTATCATTGAATCACATATGCATGCAGGTATACTGATGGAACTGAGCCGTTCCATCAGTATAGCTCTGCCCTGTCCTCTACTCTACCTCAGCCTTCAGTATACGTCAGCCCTGCTCTGGCACAGCACCAGGGAGCAAAGGGAGACTGCCCCATTATACAGTTGAAAATGTCTCTGACTGTATTTCCCTTCCCTGTCTGTCTGTAGGAGGACGACCACTGCGAGGCCCACGCCACAGATGAGGAGAAGCTAGCCAGCACGGCAGGAGTCAGAGCAGACAGAGACCACAAAGGTAAGTGGAGGTTGAGGGAATCAGACACACCCAAATATCAGTGTCTGTGTGAACTCATGTGTTGGTTAATCAATGTCACAGGGAAGGTCATTGTTTTCTTTCATAGAACCCCCCAGTAACAGTTATTAACTAGTAACTAATTGTCAACATCCACAATAGCTTAATTGGATCCAAGGAATCTGTATGAGTGTTCCTAAGTTCCTGTGCTCTGATCTGGGCTCCCTCCCCTCCCTCAGCTCAACCACTAGTGTAGGCTATATTAGCCCAACAGCAGAACCCTAGCAGTGTGACAGGAAGTAGACAGACTGTACCAGATCAATAGTCCCTCAGGCTGCATGTGACACACTTCTACTGTAGCTCTGTTCTGTTCTGCTGAGCTGAGTTGGCCTTATTGTCTGTTCTGTTCTGTTCTGCTCTGTCTAGTCTGGGGAGATGTATACAGTAGAATCTGTCTGTCATCTCAGGGGTTTATTATGAGACAGAATTGTGTCATGATGTCCTCTGTGCTGCAGGCATACACTGCCCCCTCCTGGTCATGCAGCAGCAGTAGCACATGGAGCTCCCAGTGACTGGAGTCAGAATAGAATAGAATAGAATAGTTCCTTATGAGAATACAGTGTGGGATATTTCACACAGATACTTTTAGTGACATTTCATTTTTCTCTCCCAGGGACAGAACTGAGTGTGTCAGGCAGATCAGAGGAGTCAGACTGCTGCTCTATGGTGAGTACAACAACATGCCCTGTTAACAGTCACATTTAGCCCACTTCAGAGACCAAAGATCTAGTGATGGTTCCATCAGAATCATGTGATCTCCCTGGTGACCACTAGATGGAGACATCAGTTAGCCAGTAGTTTAGAACGCTGTCCTCTGAACACATTATGGTCATGATGTCACTGTAGTTAGGAGGGTTAACAAGTTCAGTTAGTGAATGACTTAATCACCATCCCATCTAGCTGATCTTGGCCCATCATCATCATCATCATCATGTTTCTAGTAGATGTAGTGGATTAGAGCTGTGTTGACAGTGATGTTGAGGAGCTAGTGCTACTGTATCTGGTTGGCTGAGATGGTGATGGTGACTGGCTTGATTGGTCTACCCACCCGGTGCCTAACGGTGCTCTGTAACCCACTACAGTACAGTACCATGGTAGCTTTACTCCCACACTGCACATGAACTGACCGCGAGCTCCTCAGCCTGTCATCATCTCCAGCTCATCAGGTGATAGAGGGATTGAGATTACCAGACCCATAGGATTAGGATATGAGTGTGAGTTATAATCCAGGGAAGGACAACAGGAGGGCGAGGGCTGAGGGGTAGGGCGAGAGAAAGAGATGGAAGTAACCACCCTTAACTCTGGCACTGAGGAACAAGACCTCAACTTCCAACTGCCATCTCCCTCTCAGACTGCGTTTAGACAGGCAGCCCAGTTCCGGTATTTTATTTCACTAATTGGTCTTTTGACCAATCAGATGAGCTCTGAAAAATATCTGACGTGATTGGTCAAAAGACCAATTAGTGGAAAAACGATCAGAATTGGGCTGCCTGTTTAAACAGCCTCAGAGTGCTAGAGTAGACCTGCATCTCGCCTCAGGCTCTTGAAGGCAGAGCCAATATGAGATGTCTTTGTACGGCTCTGGATGGAGATGAGAATATCACCACAACCCTCTAATAAACACTATACTACATTGTACTATAATCGGTTTATTACTGAGCGAAACACGCAGATGGAAATTACCTATAAACATACTGTTTAAACCTGCCACATCCAGAAACATTCACAGATAGTGAATTCATGCTACAAGCCACACTGACATTGTGACTAAATCAGGATTAGGGTCACTTTAATCTAACATCCAGTCAGGAATTTATGGAACTTCTCTCAATCAATTAATCAATCAATCAAATTTTATTTATAAAGCCCTTTTTACATCAGCAGATGTCACAAAGTGCTATACAGAAACCCAGCCTAAAACCCCTAACAGCAAGCAATGCAGATGTAGAAGCCAGTGGCTAGGAAAAACTCCCTAGAAAGGAAGGAACCTAGAGAGGAACCAGGCTCTGAGGGGTGGCAAGTCCCCTTCTGGCTGTGCCGGGTGGAGATTATAACAGTACATGGCCATTAAGGCCAGATTTATCTCCAAGATGTTCAAACGTTCATAGATGACCAGCAGGGTCAAATAATAATCACAGTGGTTGTAGAGGTTGCAACAGGTCAGTACGTCAGGAGTAAATGTCACTTGGCTTTTCATAGCCGGGCATTTAGAGGTTGAAATAGCAGGTGCGGTAGAGCGAGAGAGTTGAAAACAGGGAGACACTGTGGCCCCGTCCAACGATACCCCCGGACATGGCCAACCAGGCACCTGCTCTGACACACATCTCTCTGCAGTATGAGGACTCCTGCCAGCTGAAGAATGCCAAGCTGGGAGGAAGTGACACGCAGAAGACAGGAAGTGAGGTTCTAGACTCCATTTGTATCAGCGAGGCAGAGAAGAAGGCTGTTCTCACCCTCATCAGAGGGGAGGTAAGTTAAACAACAGACCACACACATGCATGCACGTACACACACACACACACACACACACACACACACACACACACACACACACACACACACACACACACACACAGTAACATAGTAATAACTGTCTCCTGTGTCAGATCATCACTAAGGAGACGGAGGCCAGTGACTGGAGGAGGAAGTATGAGGACAGCAGACAGGAAGTCATGGAGATGAGGTAGGCTAATTCACATGTACCATGCTGTTACCATTCACCTCAACTGTACTGTGAGGCTAGTAATGATGTGATGTGTGCTGAGCAGTGAACAGACTGAGTGTCAGCTAGTCAAGATTCATCAGTAGTCGTTCCTCCTCTCTCACAGAAAGATTGTGGCAGAGTATGAGAAGACCATCGCCCAGATGATTGGTGAGTGGCTTAGGTCAACCAAACCTCTTCAAACATTCCTATCCATAAATGTAGTGGTGGCCTTGATGCATGGAATCATAAAATGACCCGTCTGTGTGACCTCTCTCTCTGTCAGAGGATGAACAGTGCAACACCATGAGCTCCCAGAAGTCTTTGCAGGCTGTAAGCATGGAGAAGGAGTCGGCGCTAACAGACCTGAACTCAGTAGAGCGCTCGCTGTCTGATATGTTCCGCCGCTATGAGAACATGAAGAGCACCCTGGACGGCTTTAAGAAGGTTAGGGGTCAGAGTTCAGGGATCAAGAATAGTCTGACCTTAGTATGATTAGTCTTTGAGCTCATATATTAGTTATGTGTAATGTTGTGGTTCTACTATTGTGTGTGTGTAGAATGAGGAGGTATTGAAGAAGTGTGCTCAGGAGTATCTGGCCAGAGTCAAGCAAGAGGAGCAGAGATACCAGACCCTCAAACTCCATGCCGAGGAGAAACTAGACAAGTATGACCACACACCACACACACACACACACACACACACACAAACACACACAGAGGAGTCTGTCACTAACTACCAACCCCTACTCTTCCCTTCAGGGCTAATGAGAACATAGCCCAGGTACGCAGCAAGGCCAGCTCTGAGAGTGTTGCTCTCACCGCCAGCCTAAGGAAGGAGCAGATGAAGGTGGAGTCTCTGGAGAAAGCCCTGCAGCAAAAGGTAAGGGCTAACATTACCTAGCTACATGCTAACACCCACTGCTAGGCCTATAGCAGAAGGTAGCACACAAGCATAGAGATTGTTAGAGGACGCAACATTGTATCTGTCCCATTATGGCGTCTGTGAGAGCATGGGCAGCGCCATTGAGGCCATCTCCATTTTGGAGTAGTCAATGTTCTTCTTTTACTTCTATGAGTTGGTAAACAAACGGAAAGGGTGCATACTGCCACCTGGAGTGTGTCGTTTGAACAGGTATGAAGCCAAGGTTGGCGATTTACTGCCACCTGCAGTTATGGAATGTTTGCTCACGAGTATAATTCATTGGTTGGTCCCTCCTGATGAACAGGATGGATTGATGTGATCCTTCCTTAACCCATAGTCCTCAGTGGCATCCTCTATGGCGCTGCCCATGCTAAAAAGGCCTTTTGGGCACTAGAGTTCTCTATCTATCTCTACGCACACAACCCTAACGCTACATGCTAATGCTAACCCTGCAACAAAAGGTAATGCACAACACTTTTTGCTGACCAGGAAAAACTCCAGGCTTAAGTCCTGAATCACCAGTCTCCCTGACGTGATCTTCTGTCTATTCACAGACTGAGGAGATCGAGGAGCTCACCAAGATCTGTGATGAGCTCATCGCCAAGATGGGCAGAACAGACTGAGAGAGATTCCATACTTCCAAATTGACCAATCTTGATCCGCCAAGCCAACCCTGCCTACAACCTATAGTGTACCCCTGTGCATGCCTCCAGCCAATGAGCAGTTCTGTTTCCCCACAGGGCGCCTACACCTAGTGCTGCTGTACTGGTCAAATATCATATGATAACCCATTTATCTTAGTCAAAATTAGTGCACTATTTGGAGAATAGGGTGTCATTTGAGCCAGAGCCTGTGTTACGTACATGTGGACTCGCATTTTTGGCTTGGTCATTTTTCACCACGCAAGACCACACACCCCAACACCCCTCACTCCCTCCACCTGTTTGTCTTTCTGTACTGTAACATAAACAGAATATAATGTGCCGTCTTGGCATTGCATAGGTATGTGCATATTTAACTTAGGGTAACATTTTGTAAAGCATTTATTAATATATTATGCACATAAACCCCACACTTACAAAACACCCTCGCTGAGATTTACTGTACATATGGTATTTATTCTGAACACTAGGAGACTAGGGCAGGACCAGGTAGACACTCTCTAGGCTCTAGGACAGTCAGGGGTCAGAGCTCAGAGGTGAGCTGTGTTTGATCCCTTTGTATAACTGCACTATTATAGGGAAGGGGGAATGTGAGAGTAAGTTCCGGGTTAGGATGCACTACTATAGATAGGGGTGGGGTGGGGGGTTGTCCTGGGAAATATACAGCTTTTCTCCTGTCTGTATATGAGGCCTTGTGTTAGCAGAGGAAGAGGAGCTGTAGAGTTATTGTGCATTCTGCACAACTCCAGCACAACTGCACATGGGAGGGGAGGGTTTCCCACTGTCCTAAACCCCACCTGGTTAGTCTCTTTCTCAGGCCAGTGTGGTGGAGCAGAGAGTATACTCAGTAAGTGGAAATCTGGAAATGGTGAAGTTAATACAAAGACTATATATTTTGTATATTTAAAAAGAAATACCGTAAACTGGGAGAGTGTTTGATTTGGTTTTTCAGAATAAAAAATGTTTAGAATCTCCTGCGGCCACGGATATGCACCTGTAGTATTCGGGTATGAAACGTTATGACATGGAGGTAGAGAGAACTGTTCAGGGATTATGTGAGCTCCCATGAGCCCTGCTCAAAGGTAGAGCACTATATAGGGAATAGGGTGCCATTTGGGACGTAACCACTGTGTTTTACTGCAGCACCTAGTTAGTGGCATAGAAAGTTAGTGTGTTTCTCCTATTCACTGGTCACTGCTTCACTGTTCTCAGCTAACCTGGTTCTGTTAAATACTCTTTCCACAGTGGAGAGTTTCACACCGCCTCACAGTACTAGTTCCCCCTCCAACATACTGCACTGTGGATGCCATAGTTAAACAAGATGTACAATATAACACGCATGCAGTGAAACACCATGTACGCATGCACACACACACGTGCCAGTGTCTATAATACACATCTTTGTTGTAGCTTCATTGAAAGTGTCTTTAGATAATATTGTTTTTGTTTTAACGGTTTGTACATCACTGATGATCCCTTTTTGCATTGTCATTAATATTTGTAAAGTGAATAAGAAGCATATAGCTGTACTGACTTGTATGTTGACTAATATATGCAGTGTGTGTGCTGAGTAAACATGACTGTAGTAATGAGGGAGTGTGTTCTCATGGCTTCTGTGTTCAGGAGAGTTTCTCTGTTCACAGCTACACAGGTTGGGTCTGACATCACAGCTACACAGGTTGGGTCTGACATCACAGCTACAAAGGTTGCGCCTGACATCACAGCTACACAGGTTGGGTCTGACATCACAGCTACACAGGTTGGGTCTGACATCACAGCTACAAAGGTTGTGTCTGACATCACAGCTACACAGGGTGGGTCTGACATCTCAGCTACACAGGTTGGGTCTGACATCACAGCTACACAGGTTGTGCCTGACATCACAGTTACACAGGTTGGGCCTGACATCACAGCTACACAGGTTGTGCCTGACATCACAGCTACACAGGTTGGGTCTGACATCACAGCTACACAGGTTGGGCCTGACATCACAGCTACACAGGTTGGGCCTGACATCACAGCTACACAGGTTGTGCCTGACATCACAGCTACACAGGTTGGTTCTGACATCACAGCTACACAGGTTGTGCCTGACATCACAGCTACACAAGTTGGGTCTGACATCACAGCTACACAGGTTGGGTCTGACATCACATCTACACAGGTTGGGTCTGACATCACAGCTACACAGGTTGGGCCTGACATCACAGTTACACAGGTTGGGCCTGACATCACAGCTACACAGGTTGGGTCTGACATCACAGCTACACAGGTTGGGTCTGACATCACAGTTACACAGGTTGGGCCTGACATCACAGCTACACAGGTTGGGTCTGACATCACAGTTACATAGCACACTCACAAGCACGGACTTTACTGAATGTTCAGTCTCTGCCATCTTCTCTCTGGCAGGGTGAACTGTAACCTAGCCCCGGGCTAGCAGCTGAACAGGGAAGAGTGTGGAAGGTATCACTATGTTGGCTTTATCTTCTTATCCTCACACCTAACATCCCCTGACACAGCACTAATGTCCTCTAACACACTCACAGAAACACACACACATTGCTAAATGGATGTTATGAGGCTCTGACCTTGAGTTAGAGGGCAACTGCATGCGAGTGACACATTTTTAAGTTGAATTTCCCTGTAGTTGGTGAGAATGGTTTGTGACAACCCAGTGTGATTGTACTATTTCACTGATCACTTAGCCAACACAGGGTGTGTGTGCTGTCCACCAAGGTATGTGTGTGTGTGTATTGGTGTGTTTGAGTGAATGAGTACAGTACATACACAAGCATTGAGAGTTTACCTGACCCTGTCAAAGCCACCCTGGGTAAGTCCAACAACACATTAATAGAGGGCGCTGGGTGTGCAGGGTTGATAGGGATTAGGGCTAAGATGTTAATGCCCCAAGACACCCCCACCCCCCTTCTCTTTTCTCTCCTCTGCGTTTACCTCTTCTCTGCTCCCACTACTGCACTGGACTCCCAAACGTACACTGATACACACCGTCCATCCGGCACTATGAAGACTGTCCTGGCTCTGCTGATGTTGGTATGCCTGGCCTGCCACAGTAAGTCTCTGTACAGCTGGCAGGGTTATTTACTCAACTAGGGGGGGACCGTCTGGGGGGTTCAGGGTTTTATAAGAGTTTATAAGGGGGTTAAATGGGGGACTCTGATTCCCAAATGGTGGGTCTGAATCTAGTCTCTACTGGGTCACTGTTAAAGCTGGGTTCAGGTTAGAAATGTTGTCTTGGTTATCTGATGGGTGGCAAATTAATGTTAAGAGCTTAGTTCGATCACGGAACTGCCAGGGGACCGACTGAGTAGTTGATGCTAACGCTAACCCTAACCCTAACCATAGGTCAACACTATCCATAACTGTACCAGATATACCAGTACCAGTCATATTTCAGTTTGTTTTGTTTTAGTCATCATATTGGTAGGGGTTGTGCGGAACACTTTCGACACCTTGTAGAGTCCATGCCCCAACGAATTGAGGCTGTTCTGAGGGCAAAATGGGAGGTGCAACTCAATTTTAGGAAGTGTGCCTTGAAGTGCTAGTGAAGGGCTGTGTTCACCTGTCTGTCTGTGTATTTGGCTGTTTCAGTAGTGGGTTTCAGTGTGGTCTGATTTGTTCATAAACACCCAAGGGGTTGACAGGACAGGAAACATGGCCAGGGTCAGTCTGAGTTAAGTCACAGACACAGCCTTAGAGTTATCCGTACATCATCTGATATCAGTTTGTTGTTATGAACTCCCAGTTCCTCAGAGGCAATGTGTGCATGGTGAGACCGAGAGTTAGGATTATGTTGAGCGGTAGCCTGGATACAACTTCTTGCAGAGTGAGTGCTAGTCTTTCTGTGAGTGCTAGTCTGTCTGTGAGTGCTAGTGGTAAATGCTGCTTAGTCTCATCTCAGATGTTCTCTCCTGTTCCATGTCTAAAGGTCATGCACTGAAGTGTCACTCATGCATAGCATCCAATGAGGGTGATTGTATCAAACAAGGCTCCACCACCTGCCCTCAATTCGCCGACGCCTGCTCCACCATCACAGGACAGAGTGAGTACACACACAAACTCTCACCACCTGCACAAAAATAACTTTCATGACCAAAGCTTGCAGCATTCTTTTCAGACTCTAGATGTCAGGCTAGTTCTAGGACAACACCACCATCACCACTATATGATTGGATAGGTATAAGTTGTATGGAAATTGCTGTAATTAGACTAAAGCATTCCCCCCATTGAGGCTGTATAGGGTGTATATTATCAGTGTTCTAGCTACTGTGGAACTGACATGAACACATCTTGAACACATCTTGTACAAAACTGATTTTAATGTTAAATAAACATGTCTTTATGCTACTATACTACATCACACACTAAATTAATGACCACGCAAATTTGATAAGAGTACATATGTATTTCTCTCTCTTTTGTCAGCAGTCTCTCTCCCTGCCCCTGTAATCAGTGTGTGTGTGTGTGTGTGTGTCCTCATCTCTGAGGTTTCTGGATAAGTTCCCAGCAGCTTTTATCAACCACAACCCTCTGTGTCTGTGGGAGAGAAGAGGGAAGAGTGGGGGGGAGCGAGGCAGGGGCTAGGGCTAAGAAGAGGGAAGAGTGGGGGGGAGGGGCTAAGGCCAAGAAGAGGGAAGAGTGGGAGGGAGTGGGGCAGGGGCTAGGGCCAGGGCCAAGAAGAGGGAAGAGTGGGGGGGAGGGGCTAAGGCCAAGAAGAGGGAAGAGTGGGAGGGAGCGGGGCAGGGGCTAGGGCCAGGGCCCCAAGAAGAGGGAAGAGTGGGGGGATGGGCTAAGGCCAAGAAGAGGGAAGAGTGGGGAGGGAGTGGGGCAGGGGCTAGGGCCAGGCCCAAGAAGAGGGAAGAGTGGGGGGGAGGGGCTAAGGCCAAGAAGAGGGAAAAGTGGGAGGGAGTGGGGCAGGGGCTAGGGCCAAGAAGAGGGAAGAGTGGGGGGGGGGGGCTAGGGCCAAGAAGAGGCAGATTGAAGGACGAGGAGGAGAGTAAGAAACCATGGTTCAACAGGGCTGGAATAAGCTAATACTGACTCACCTTCCTCATACCTTTCCTACCGCTCTCCCTCCCCCTCCCCACTCCTCTCTCCTCTTCTCCCTTTCTCCCCTCTCCTCCTGTGTTTCAGACACGGTGATGAAGTCATGCTCCTACAAGGCGTTCTGTGATAAGGCCCACAATGGCAACTCTGGAGCCAAGATGGAGTGTTGTTTCACGGACGACTGCAACGGGCCCCATAAGGGCCACCGCCACGGGGAGCACAATAACACAGCTAAAGCCCTGGGAGCCAGCCCTGCTCTACTACTTGGGGCTCTGATGCTCCGCATGGCCCTCAGCAGGCTCTAAACTCCTGATCATATATACATACATCACTCTACTATCCATATATCCATGTAGTCATTCTTTCATACAGCCCTACCATTAAACCATTTATCGCCTCGGTCAGGTGTGTCAGCGGAGTGCTGGTGAGCCATGGTTTGGTCAATCATACGGGGTTTAGTAGTGAATGTGTGTGTTTGTGTGTGTGTGTGTTGCCTGTGGTGGTGGGGGGAGGGGGTCATAAAAGCACATTCAACTAAGTTTAAAGACAGATGGAACTGATGTATCATACCATATGACTCAGCTCTATAATACAGTTGTGTGTCTGTAACCAGTCATATGCACTAAATGAGTTGTTTGATATGTTCAGTGAGAGACTGGAGCTCCTGTAGTGTCAGTGGACTCTGGGTGCATGCATCCAGGCTGGGTTTACAACTATAGACGTTCAGTGAGCTCCAAAAGTATTGGGACAGTGACACGTTTTTTGTTGTTTTGGCTCTGTACTCCAGCACTTTGGATTTGTCTGGTGAACCATTTCAGAAATTACAGCACTTTTTGCAAATAGTTCCCCCCATTTTAGGGGACGAAAAGTATTGGGACAAATTCTCTTATATGTGTTTTATAGTAGTCAAAAGTTTAGTATTTGGTCCTATATTCCTAGCACGCAATGATTACATCAAGCTTGTGACTCTACAAACTTGTTGGATGCATTTGCTGTTTGTTTTGATTGTGTTTCAGATAATTTTTTGTCCAATAGAAATGAATGGTAAATAATGTATTGTGTCATTTTGGAATCACTTTTATTGTAAATAAGAATAGAATAAGTTTCTAAACACGTCTACATTAATGTGGATGCTACCATGATTACGGATAGTCCTGAATGAATCGTGAATAATGATGAGTGAGAAAGTTAGACGCACAAATATCATACCCCCAAGACATGCTAACCTCTCACCAATACAATAACAGGGGAGGTTTATGCCTCTGTAACTTTCTCACTCAATATTATTCACGATTCATTCAGGACTATCCGTAATCATGGTAGCATCCACATTAATGTAGACGTGTTTAGAAACATATTATATTCTTATTTACAATAAAAGTGATTCCAAAATGACACAATACATTATTTACCATGTATTTATATTGGGCACAAAATAATCTGAAACACAACCAAAACAAACAGCAAATGCATCCAACAAGTTTGTAGAGTCACAAGCTTGATGTAATCATTGCGTGCTAGGAATTAGGACCAAATACTAAACTTTTGACTACTTTAATACACATACAGTATAAGTGAATTTGTCCCATGTACAGAAAGTGCTGTAATTTCTAAACGGTTCACACGATATGGTTGGTGGCAACCTTAATTGAGGAGGACGGGCTCGTGGTAATGGCTGGCGCGGAATTGGTGAAATGGTATCAAATACATCAAACACATGCTTTCCATGTGTTTGATGCCATTCCATTCGCTCCGTTCCAGACAATATTATGAGCCGTCCTCCCCTCAGTAGCCTCCACTGTTTAATAGCTGGGGCAGATCTAAAATGTCAGTAGACTGTGTGCATGTATGACACTATTGGTCAATGCTGAGTTCACAGTAGGCCTATTGTTGGGCTTGTTCCCATAGTTACCCCATACTGTATGTTACCGCACTCTTCAGCCTTCAAACGTCATGAATTAAACAGAAACTGAACACAGAGACAACATGTTAGTACTTCTTTCATTGTTCATATTGTTATGCTTCAATACTTATTTATAAATAAACATGCTATTCCACCCTTATTTTTTCTTTCTATCTCTCTGCAGTTGGTTTTGTTGTGTGTATGCAGCATCAGGGTGGACTGGGACAAGAATTCGGCCCTGGCATTTCGGCCCCACATCACGGTGCGTGCCGCCAATTTGCCGCGAAGTTGTTTCATCTATCACATCCCAACAGGAATGAATGATTCAAGATATTTTTATGTGCAACCTAATCCAGTGATTGTCATGAATTTTGGGTTAACAATTAGACTATAGTTGCTATATTTTACTGTCAAAATAGGACTCCAGAATTTCCTGGTATTTTTTTCAACACATTAACTACATCGGTAACTCTAAATATATTACCCACTGCTAGTAGCCATGTATTCATCCAACAGTAAATGTAATGTCCTAAATGTTTTTGCAGTTGTAGGCTACTACCCATGAGACCTATAGGCCTATGGTCTCGCCATGGCCGGTGTGCATTTCGTGTGCGTGCCGCTCCATATCTCAAAGCCATATCAACTATCTTGGTTGTAAAGTAGTTGCTATTGAGCTGAATATTGAAAGTTGATAAATAAAAAATATACCTACAGAAAGCTGAGACCCTCCTCTCTTTGACAGGAACAAGAGGACGAAAGCTTCCAAAGCTGTGTTTTTCCCGCAATTGTATTTTTAAATGTTATATGATCAGAACGCATTTTTCTCTTGAGCACATGGGGGGAGTGGAAAGTAGCTGGCTCATCACAGCAGCAGGCCCCAGTGAGGGCACAGGGGCAGGGCAGACACTTTCATTACAGGAATCATGAGAATAATACACTTTACTGTTTGACCAAATCATGGTTTTAGCCACCCCAAAAATTGCTGAAGACAGAGTCAGAGCAGGTCTCTTTGCTAATGCTGTGTTTGACTTTGAATGTGAGTTTGCTTGACCTCAGCTCAGGTATTAGAAAACCGGGCTAGCCTGTCTTGGTATGGGGGCTGACTGTTGCCCACTGATCAGCCAAAGGCTGATTATAGATTAGTATAACAGAGAAATTGTACAAAAATCTTTAAGAAAAATCTTAATAGGCCCATGGGCCGCCGGCCATGTCACCTTTTTCATTGTTTTATTTCTGTATGTCAATTTCAACCAGCCCACCCAACTAAAAAATGGTCCAGCCCATCTGGCATTTGACAGAATTGCCAGATGGCCAATCAACCCTGTGCAGCATGCTACAGCATGAGACTGTCAGTGGGTGGCATCACAGGAAATGTTGAGACTGTAGATTTAGACTCTCTCCGCTGTTTCTGTGACCTCTGACCTAGTTACAGCCCACAGGACGTGCGGTCACTCAGGTAGCATTCTGCTCGCTGGTGGTTATCAGACCACACTTAGTTTCTCCTCCGACCTCCAGTCTTCTCTATAGAGGGCTCACACACACACACACACACACTTCTTCCTCAGACCTCCATGTTGTCTCTACTGAACACTGACTTCCGTTCTGTCTCTGTCTCAGACTGTATAATAACTCTATGCAGGGAAGGCTCAGGTAAGGACAGCTGGATATGAGGCAGAGAAAACAACTGGTCTAGACAAGGATACAGATCGCATCCTCTGATCATCCCATTCAGACAGAATATCTCCCCATACAGGCTAGTCACAGTAGCTCTGTGCACCATAGCATACTTAACACAGAGAATGAGACACAGAGAGAGAGACACAGACAGAGGGAGGGGGGTGAAATCCTGAATCATATGATGTGACTTTGACCCAGTTCCCATAGCGATGCTGCCAGCTGAGAGAGGGAGGAAAGAATGGTAGAAGATAACAAGGAAAGAAGAAGGGAAGAGAAATGGTTAGAATATCTCGCTCGGTTTATGAGAATTGATCATAAATGCAGGGTTAAAAATGTATTGAACTAGCATATTTAATAGCCTAGCCTAGGTAGGGCCTATAACCTACAATAAATAAAGCATAGGACCACAATCAATTTGACTGTATCAGATATACATGAAGCCTAGTGAGTGGTAGACCAATTAATGTTTGATGAGACAGTGCCTGTTGTTAGTCTGGCTGAGGGCAATGCACAGACCTTTTGGGGGGAATGTACTTTTTTTTTAACAAATGTTTTTCCGCAACCATGGTCACAGATTGAGCAATTATTACAAAAGGGGAAAGCAGCACAATCTGATGAGTAAATTAGCCTATTTTACAAAACTATTTTGAACTGGAATAAATTCTGCACTTATTAAGAATGACAAATACAATTCCAGTAAAAATAGAAGATTGTAAGAAATACTGTAGCCTACCATTACTATATCCAACCCAAACTCCATTTGCTGCCGCTATCATGTATCCCAGTGGTTTTCACACTTTTTGACCCGCGACCCCCAAAAAGGAGTGGTACATAACTTGCGACCCCCGCGCGCACGCGCAATCGCTGCTTAAATGTTGCCTGTCATTACAGCCATAAACGGTGATGCATTTTCAAAACGCATAAATTGCGTTTTAGACCTGCATTTGGAGCTGAAAGTCATTCATGTTAACAGCCAATATCAACTAGGGATATATCATGTCACTTATCTGGAGTCCAGAGCAGGCAAAATCATAAGGCCTGCTTATAGCAAAGGTTGCAGGCTTACCCTGGCATGACGTTTTGATAACCGTGTAAATCTCTCTAGGCCAAGGTGACTTTAATCAATATATTCATCTGTATTTACCCCTCACAAAATGAAACGCTAATTAGCTGCTAATATGAAGAACTACAAATGCCATGATGATCTGGACAAGACGGGGAAAAGGTAGGAATCTCTGGATTAACTAACTAATGTTAGCTAAATTTTGTAATGAATAAATTGGCATCATTTCTTTAAATTGACAATTCTGTGAACTGTCTTGTGCAAGTTTTAAATTGACACAATACCTGTTAGCAAAGGTGTCAGCTAGAGATGACTTGCAGGAGTTTGCAGGGTCTACTCTGATGCTAATTAGCATTTTCGGATCTGAGAGTAAATAGAGCTGAATATATTGATAAAAGTCACCTTGTCTGGGAGAGATTTACACGGTTATCCAAACGTCACGAAGCCTACACAAAACACAGCCTTTATTTTAAGTGTTTCTAAAATTCCCTACAGGAAAAATGAATGGTGGAGAAACGATTGGAACCATTACCCTGTTTGACTGCTAGGTTTTATGGGTATTATGACGCCTCCACTGTGGGGCTCTATTGGTCAACAATCAAGACGCTCAACTTTTCGGTTCTGTAGCATAGATGATAATTTAACAAGGACTTGCTGGCAGTGGGTTCAGAACAACAATGACCAAAAATGTATAGGTCTACAAAATTATACCACCACCGAAAAGGGCACTTTGGAGACTGGAAGGGCGAAGGGACATGTGCTCTGCATGGGTAGCCCTATCTGTGCACGTGCCTGGCAGTAGCGGTGCGTGGGTGAAATCACTGGGGAAGCGAAGCAAAAAAAGGCATATTTCAACCTACACTGTATGTGTTGTGATAATTGCGTTGTTTGATATTAATTAATATGCCTTGCGACTGTGATATATAGGCCTAAAGGTCGAGACAATAAGAAGACAGTGGCAGAATAAATTCAACCACACCTTTGTTTTATCGCAAAACCGGATAGCAACCTCTGCCCAGTGAAGTCCACAACACATATTGCATGTAACAGACAGTTACATGACCTACAGCATGGGCAAGTATGTTAATGTTTCCGACATTTTCGGACCACTAAACAACTATTGATTTAGAATCACAGAGTTACCACAAGTCGCAAAGAAAACAGGAGCTGCCTCCACTATTGCAGCACCATTTCAACTTCAACATCATCAAATCACCTCTGTTTAGTCTAATACAGTGACAACTAAAAGATACCAAAAACAATTTAGTCCAATCAACGTAAGTTAAATATGATGTGGCTGTCCATGGTTTTAATTTCTGTTTGCGCGCGTGTTCGTGCAAGTAGAAATACATGTTGACTCACCCTACTTGTAGAGAAACTCCAATGCCATCCTCCTGTCTTTCATGTTGGCGAAATGGTCTATCACTCTGTCATACAGTACACGCTTTTATTTGTTGTTGTCCTAGGCTACCTGGCTAAAATGCTTGCTCGCTAGCCTAACTTCCATTCATGGGCAATGTTAGCTAGTTAACATTAGCCTTCTACATCTAGCTACTGCACATATTGATCTTCCATCCTCTCAGGCCAGGGGCACAACAATGTATGAATTAATGGTTGGATCAGAATCGCCGTTACAATCATTGGCCAGTAGGGAGAATTAAGTAAAACCACAAGTCCAAATCCCTATCTCCTTCCATGGCTAATTTAGGAAAGGGCCCATTTTAGCTAGCTAGCCACGGAGGACAACAACACAACAAGTGATGTATGATGTATGCTCTCAAAGCGATTTGATAGGAGAGACGCCAAATCCAAGCTGGCTTCCTTTGACACTTTTTTTTTTAATTCGCTAGGACCATTCACATTTGAGCTCACTCAGTTTAGCTCAGCGTTGATTGGCAAATTTTGTATACTTTTTTTTGTCAAGGGATGCAAAATGCTCACTGGCTTCCCTTTCATTCAATGCTATAGCCAGCAACAATGTCATACTAGTTTGGACCAGACAGAATCAGATTGATGGCCTATACGTTGAGAGACAGAGGGGCGCTGTTTCGCTCGCTCTGATGCTTTCTCCTGTGAGATACATTCAGCCTCTTGCGAATTGAATGAAAATTATGAAACACAGAGAGACTAAAGATTTTTGGGGAAGCCTGGCTTCCCATGGCGTCCATGAATACACGCCACTGGTGCCTGGTCTAGCTAACACCTAACTCGAAATCCTCCTGACTTAAGTTTCACAGCTCTCCCTGTGCTGTGAGTGGCTTCAGCCAGGCTAGCCAGGAGTGTATTCATTAGTTGGATTCTGTTGCAAAACGTTTTGCAATGGAAACCATTGATTGTTTACTCTTGGAAGCAAACAGAACAAAATGGTGAGGGACCTACCTGAATTTGTCCAATAGAAAGTCTTGATTTTGTTGCAAAACATTTAACTTTTTATTTATTTTATTTTTACGATGCAACAGAAAAAATGCTTTGCAACAGAATCCAACTAATGAATACACCCCTGCTGTAGCCTAGTTGACAGTATCCAGCAGATCCTACCAGCTTGCTTACAGCTGCACTAGGGTCGTGGTTCCAAAAACATACCTCAATCCAGGGATGAGAATTGTCCCATTATCCGAACTGTTACTCCGAATTGTCCCATTATCCCAACTGCTACACCAAGAATATTGAATGACTGCTATTAAACCTTGGAGAAACAGTTGGGATAATGGGACAATTCGGCGCACAACTAATTTCTCCTGCCTGGATTGAGGTATGTTTTCTGAGCCATATCTCTCACAGGCTCCAATGTGTCAATCTACACAGGAAGCCTGTCAGACCCTAATGCAGCTGTAAGCAAGCGGGTCGGATCTGCTGGCTAAATTGACAGCTGCCGCAGAAAGTTACATTGTAGCGCAGAGCACAATGACAGTCAAGAGGACAGTTCAAACCCGAAGCAACAACCGAGAGATCAGCGCCAGTCAAGAATTCATATCAACGCAGTTCTTCATAAGCTACTGTAGTTAATGCCAGAGAGGTATATAAATGCTCGTTGTTACTCGAGAAAAAAAACCGACAAGAGACTAGATCATTTCCGGGGTTGGTTCTAGGTCGAAAATATATTATAATCGCGAGCCCTACCCGGAAAGAAGCCTCAGAGGACAGCGGTGTTCGGGTGCTGCAGAGATACATCTCAGATGTCAGGCTATGTCATGTAAAGTCAGAGTAACAGCGGGTTTAAACTTTAATTTTACCCAGTGAGACGCGTTTTACTCTCTGTCTTCCACTTTGGGCGCACACTGAGCAGCTGAAACGGGTAAGTTTTCGCGGAATTAATGTCTGCGTGCGTGTGTGTGTGCGCGTCTGTGGGGTGGGCGTTGTGGTCGGCAGATAATTTCATCATGAAACTTTAATGTCATCTCAACCTGATGCTAAATCATGCATTATTGGCTGACGAAGTTCTCCGTACGGGTCGACAACTAATGAAATAACTGACAGACAGTTAATCTACGGAACATAGCCCGTTGAGCACCTGACGAAATAATGTATCTATGATACAGGATGGGTTCCACCTGTACGAAATAATGTATCTATGATACAGGATGGGTTCCACCTGTATCTGATCCTATAGTATCCATATCTATCTATCTATCTATCTCATTCGGTTTGGGGAATAACTGTACATTTAAACAAAACGAAATATTTACACGATTCAGGCCTACATGGAACCAACAGTACTCGTTACATTTCAAATGCTCAGACAGGACAGCAATATGGTCCAATTCATGCACCTATCAAAATAACGCATGGTCATCCCTTCTGCCTCTTATCTGGCAGACTTACTAAACACAAATACTGCTTTTGTAAATGATGTATGAGTGTTGGAGTGTGCTTCTGGCTGTCTGTAAATCATGCAGTCAGTATGACAATTGAGTACTTTTTCCACCACTGTACTTAAGTACATTTAAAACCAGATACTTTTGGGTGACTTTCACTTTTACTTGAGTCATTTTCGATTAAGGTATCTGTACTTTTATTCAAGTATGACAATTGAGTACTTTTTCCACCTCTTGTTACTGCTGCTATGATTAATGCCCAAAATATATTATTTTTCTTATAAGAAAAGCATTGGCTGTGTGTTTCTTTATTTCCTAAAACAAAATGTTGTTCATATTGCTGTTCCATAGGGGAAGTTGAATTTGTATGCTCATGTGACCAGGTAGGTGCAACAACTGCACAGATGATGTCATGATGATGTTATGTCCTCAGCATGTCAGTCTCTCTGACAGTTAGGTTAGGTTGTCCTGATGTTCATTCCCATGTCACCCCCCCCCCCCTCTCTCTCTCTCTCTCTCTCTCTCTCTCTCTCTCTCTATCTGGCCAGATGAAATGTGCCTGTATGCAGATCTGTTCAGTAGTCTATAATTTCCAGCTGTGGTGAATCTGCTGGTTAGCAGCACAGCCTCAGGCTTTAGGCTTAGCTAGGTTGCCTCAATAACGTCACATGAAAAACTGCTGAGTGTGTGTGTGTGACATGCCTTCTCTCTCTTCCTCCCTCTCTGACAATTCACTACCAACTGGCTGTTATTGTTGCTCTAAAAGGGGATTTAGGGTTTCTGAAGAATTGGAGACCTGTCTCATTACTGTACTAGTATGTTTGGAGTACAATATTATTTCAAAATGTCTTACAAATAGACTCAACTTTTCTCTCCCCCCCTTCCATCTCTCAGTGATATGTGGTAGCAGGCAGCAGTATGCCGTACGTGGACAGGCAGAACCGTGTGTGTGGCTTTCTAGACATCGAGGAGAAAGAGGGTAGCAACCGCTTCCAGAGACGCTACTTTATACTGGACACACAGGGCAACACACTGCTGTGGTACATGGACAACCCCCAGGTACACACAAACACATGTCATACTGCCTGTACAAACACGCATGACCTCTGATGTGTCTGAGGCAGAGTTGAGAAGAGTGTGTGTTCAGATAGTGGTTGTGTTCTGCCACTAGCAGGGTAGAAACACACCTCTAAAGAGGAAGTGAGACTAGGAGTAGAAGTCTTCTCTGTGTCTTTAACTCTCTCTGCCTGCAGAAGTGTTTGTTATATTGACTGTTGTGTTACTGTATTTATTACATTGGTGTGTTGTATCTCTGCCTGTAGAACCTGCCCAGTGGAGCGAACTCAGTCGGGAGTCTGCAGCTGACATATATCTCCAAGGTAACAATACCCTAAAACAGATGACTTATTAAGGGCAATGTTTTTGACTGATTCCAGACTCATCTTTTCTCTCTTGTCTTCTCCTCCTCTGTTTGGGGGTTAGGTGAGCGAGGCCACAGGGAAACAGAAGCCCAAGACTGAGTTCTGCTTCGGTGAGTAAAAGTGTGTATGAGAGTGTAGGGTGTTCTCATGGCCCTGGTGAAACACGTACAGTAAAATGTGTTCCTATGTTTATCGTACCTGTTCTGTCCTCTTTGCAGTGAGCAATGTTATTATAGCCTCTGTATTTATGTTCTGTATTGCTATATAATATTATATATTTCTATGTATATCACTATGTCTGCAGTGATCAATGCAGTATCTCGGCGGTATTTCCTCCAAGCCAACGATGCTGCTGACCTCAGAGACTGGGTCCTTGCTCTCAACAAAGCCACCAAGATCACTGTGAGTACCCCAACTCATGTAGCATCAAATCAAATCAACTTTTAACATTCGGACATCTAATTATTACACGTATAACGTTTCATTAAACTGAGACATAGTGATGTTGCAGAGGAGCGTGATGCAAGACAAAGCACACTCACCAGAGCTGCTGGAAAATGTGTGGCGAGACAGCATCTGCCCCAGTACTTTTCAATCTGGTGTGGTGCCGCCACACCACTTTCAAAGCAGCAGCACCGACTGGGCCAGTAACTTCTCAGTACATTTTTGAGTTCCAGTTCAACATTTACCTGCTCTGTCGCCATCTACCATTGAAGACTACAAGCAGAAAAGTTGTGCTATTTGTATTTGAGCAATATGATTGGCCGTTCATTCAAGCACCACTACGCTCCCGCGAGTCACCACTTCTCGGGCACTCGAGCAGTACAGAAGTTGATAGCTACGTTCACACCGCAGACGTGAGCTGTCCTGAGCAAAAATAAGCGCCCATCAATCTGCTTGCTGAGCTTATTTATTTTAGGGAAAGTGATTCACCAAAGTAAACTTTCAATAGTGAACACACTAGCAATTTGCTGGCTACCATTGATGCAAAAGGAAAGCAAAAAAAATTAACTTTGACATTCGTCTTGGCTAGCCCGCTGTAGCTAGATCGTTATCTCTTTTCAAACACAATTGTCTGAAAGGGGCAGCATCCTATTTTGAGATGTGAAAGGCCCCAGAAAAGACACGTACAAATTTTGCCACACCACTTTTGAACCTGTGGTGCCACCTCTGGCACTCAGAGTATCACAGAGCATGTGCACGGATGCGCTTCAATAGCTACAACTTGATAGCTGAGAATCAGAAAGAGCAGAGATGTTTAGGTTTGCGCTTCACTACTCTTTGTTATTGTGGAAATGGGCCCAGTATTGCTGTTTACTTTGTGCATACAGTTACACTGTAATATATTGGCACCCATGCACTTTACAATGGAGTGCAATGGAGCAGAATGTTCTGTTTTTCTCTTTTCAAAACTGGTTGAATGGGTATTTTTACCTTGTAGGCACCTGCAGCTGTTGTTGTGTATTGTTAGATATTACTTCACTGTTGGAGCTAGGAAGACAAGCATTTCGCTACACCTGCAATAACATTGCTAAATATGTGTATGCGACCAATAAATACGATTTGATTTGATTTGACCTGCAACTTCCCACATGTGGAATGAATTACACAGTAAATGAGAATCACCTGCCTCCAACCAAATTCATTTGAATTCTTCTGAATTCTGAATAATTGTTGGTCCTTTGCAGTTGTAAATCAAACAAATGCACATGTGAACCCCAAAGGTTATTTCAGTTTCAACTTATTTTAAAAGAAATAGTGAATTATTTAAAAAATATATATATTGTGCAAGGCTGCCAATATATTAGAGCGTAACTGTGTCTGACTCTACCTTTTTGATATTGCATTTATAACTTAACACTAACATTACACAGGTAACATGTTAATGTTTGATTTCGGTAAACCTGTAGGTTATGTGCAGCTGAAACTACAATCACCTGAGTCACACTGACAGGAAGTGATGTCACACAGAGTATCTCACAAAAGTGAGTACACCCCTCACATTTTTGTAAATATTTGAGTATATCTTTTCATGTGACAACACTGAAGAAATGACACTTTGCTACAATGTAAATTAGTGAGTGTACAGCTTGTATAATAGTGTAAATTTGCTCTCCCCTCAAAATAACACAACACACAGCCATTAATGTCTAAACCGCTGGCAACAAAAGTGAGTACACCCCTAAGTGAAAATGTCCAAATTGGGCCCAATTAGCCATTTTCCCTCCCCGGTGTCATGTGACTCGTTAGTGTTACAAGGTCTCAGGTGTGAATGGGGAGCAGGTGTGTTAAATTTGGTGTCATCGCTCTCACACTCCCTCATACTGGTCACTGGAAGTTCAACATGGCACCTCATGGCAAAGAACTCTCTGAGGATCTGAAAAAAAGAATTGTTGCTCTACATAAAGATGGCCTGGGCTATCAGAAGATTGCCAAGACCCTGAAACTGAGCTGCAGCATGGTGGCCAAGACCATACAGCGGTTTAACAGGACAGGTTCCACTCAGAACAGGCCTCGCCATGGTCGACCAAAGAAGTTGAGTGCACATGCTCAGCGCCATATCCAGAGGTTGTCTTTGGGAAATAGACGTATGAGTGCTGCCAGCATTGCTGCAGAGGTTGAAGGGGTGGGGGGTCAGCCTGTCAGTGCTCAGACCATACGCTGCACACTGCATCAAATTGGTCTGCATGGCTGTCGTCCCAGAAGGAAGACTCTTCTAAAGATGATGCACAAGAAAGCCCGCAAACAGTTTGCTGAAGACAAGCAGACTAAGGACATGGATTACTGGAACCATGTCCTGTGGTCTGATGAGACCAAGATAAACTTATTTGGTTCAGATGGTGTCAAGCGTGTGTGGCGGCAACCAGGTGAGGAGTACAAAGACAAGTGTGTCTTGCCTACAGTCAAGCATGGTGGTAGGAGTGTCATGGTCTGGGGCTGCATGAGTGCTGCCGGCACTGGGAAGCAACAGTTCATTGAGGGAACCATGAATGCCAACATGTACTGTGACATACTGAAGCAGAGCATGATCCCCTCCCTTCGGAGACCCCAAACACACCTCCAAGACAACCACTGCCTTGCTAAAAAAAGCTGAGGGTAAAGGTGATGGACTGGCCAAGCATGTCTCCAGACCTAAACCCGATTGAGCATCTGTGGGGCATCCTCAAACGGAAGGTGGAGGAGTGCAAGGTCTCTAACATCCACCAGCTCCGTGATGTCGTCATGGAGGAGTGGAAGAGGACTCCAGTGGCAACCTGTGAAGCTCTGGTGAACTCCATGCCCAAGAGGGTTAAGGCAGTGCTGGAAAATGATGGTGGCCACAAAATATTGACACTTTGGCCCCAATTTGGACATTTTCACTTAGGGGTGTACTCACATTTGTTGCCAGCGGTTTAGACATGAATGGCTGTGTGTTGAGTTATTTTGAGGGGACAGCAAATTTACACTGTTATACAAGCTGTACAATCACTACTTTACTTTGTAGCAAAGAGTCATTTCTTCAGTGTTGTCACATGAAAAGATATACTCAAATATTTACAAAATGTGAGGGGTGTACTCACTTTTGTGAGATACTGTACAGGTAACTGCAAAAATAATGGAAACACTTGAGTAAATGAGGAATACAAAGTATATTGAAACCAAGTGCTTCCACACAGGTGTGGTTCCTGAGTTAATTAAGCAATTAACATCCCATCATGCTTAAAGAATAGGCAGGCCATTATGTTGGCTACCATTGCTATGCCCCCATAGGATGACAATGTCCCTATCCACAGGGCATGAGTGGTCACTGAATGGTTTGATGAGAGCATGAAAATAATGTATGCCATGGCCGTCTCAGTCATCAGATCTCAACCCAATTGAACACTTGTGGGAGATTCTGGAGCGGCGCCTGAGACAGCGTTTTCCACCGCCCATCAAGAAAACACCAAATTATGGAATTTCTCGTGGAAGAATGGTGTCGCATCCCTCCAATAGAGTTCCAGACACTTGTAAAATCTATGCATTCAAGCTGTACTGGCTTGTGATTGCCCAAAGCCCTATTAAGACACTGTATGTTGGTGTTTTTCCTTTATTTTGGCTGTTACCTGTATATAGCACTCGAGGAAGAAGTCTGTGGTCTCACATTGAACTGTTTGGCCAGGGTGTACGCGCGCGCACACACACGCGCGCACACACACGCACACGCATCTCAAATATGAGGAAATGGTGAAACAGGACAGTGGGAGTTTGTTTTGAGGTTTCACATAGCAGATTCAAAACAAATCACATTTTATTTGTCACAAATGCGTTGAATACAACAGACCTTACCGTGAAATGCTTACTTACAAGCCCTTAACCGACAATGCATAGTAAGAAAATATTTGCTAAATAAACTAAAGTAAAAAAAGTAACACAATAAAATAACAATAACGAGGCTATATACAGGGGGTACCAAGTCATTGTACGGGTTAGTCGAGGTAATTGAGGTCACGTACATTTAGGTAAGAAAAGTGTGTGTGTGTGTGTGTGTGTGTGTGTGTTGAATCTTATATCCAGTCTGTGGGGGGGGCTTTCCACACTCACTGTTTTAACAGACTGCTGATGTTTGTGCTGTGGAGCTGCACTATAGAACTGACACACACACGCAAACTTCTCGACCACACATTGGGGGGGGGGGGGGTTCAGAGAGTTTAATGCTGAATCATGGAGGTCATAAGGCCTGTAACTCCTCCCCTCCACACCACTACAGAAGGCTGAGAGCAGCAGTTACTGATTACATCCCAATAATCTCTTTTCTCTCTCTTTTTTTTTCTCCTGAAGTGTGCACTCGTTCACCACTTCCCACAAATTTGAAAGCATTGGATTGGTGTAGGCATGGCCTAGAGGGAGTTTCCATATACCAGTCATTTTTCTTTCCAATCCATGAAGGGAGGTGAACAAGTGCACACTTCGGGAGAAAGGAGAGATTATTGGGACACTTCGGGAGAAAGGAGAGATTATTGGGACCTGTGTCCCAATAGTCATCACTGTGTGTGGCTCTGTGAGGCTGGAGTGTGGTTCTGCTCTGTTTCTTCTCTATTGTCACCTGCCCTCACACAGGAAACACAGATGCGCTTTCTCTCTTCCACTTCCTCTTTGGCTCCCCCTGAACTCCCCCTGAGGAAACCCTGTAGGGCTACATGTGGGCCTTCTTTATCTCAAATATCTTGTTTATCACTCCAGAAATGTTATATTATAGTTTCATGGTTTATCAATAAGTGAACGTTAATGATAATGTATTGTTGGCTAAATGCTAGCTATGGGTTTGGCTTAATGCTCAAACTGTTGTTTTCTGTAGGTCCCTAAAGCTGGACCTCTCCAGCCCAGGTCAGAGGTTTCGCCGGTAACCGGTGAGGCAGGGGGGAAGAGGCAGGCCTACAAGACTGAGATCATCGGAGGAGTGGTGGTGCACACCCCCATGTACCAGGTACTATGTTCTAGTCCAAACACACCATTGCCACGGTGACAGTGTTGGTGATTGTGGTGGTGGTGATGACGATGGTCAGTGAGGGTGATGATGATGTACAGTGATGGTGATAGTGATGATGGTTGTGAGGATGATGATTGTGTGTGTGTTGCAGACTGAGGGGGAGGAGATGGAGGTAGGGGACAGGAGGGTCAACTCTGTAGGCATTAGACCAGGCGTGCTGAGGTGTGGCTACTGTGTCAAACAGGGTAACATGGTGAGTACAAATAAACACACACTAGCAATGGTCATCAAAATTGTTAAAAGGTTTTAATAAATGCAACAGTTGGACAATGGATGAAGATACTCCAAACCTTTTTGAATTTTTAAAATCCATCGGATATTGACAGAATAGTAGCACATAAAACCTTTTACTGGCATGGACAAATAATGAATGAAGTTCAGGGATTTTGGTGGGAATTCAGGTATTCAATTTATTGTCAAATTTCACTTTTGTTTTCGTAGAATGCACTCATACATTTTGTAATGGTATCAGGTATTAGTAAAAATATTTTGTGTTTAAAATAAAGAAAAGTGTGCCTCATTTGCATAAATACAATTGGTGTATTTGCATATTTGAATAGATTAACGTAAAGGGGTCGCACAGGGCTGCAACCACCAAAAACGTGCTCTGTCTAGGCCTACCTGCACTCACCTGCGCTGTCTAGACTGCCTCATAAATTACTGTTGTCACAATTCTGTTGCATAATTCAACAAGTGTGTCAATAGCAGCATACCCTCGGATTAAAAATCAACACGCTTGGCTTTAGATTACCACTATCTATACATGCACTACATGGCCAAAAGTATGTGGACACTGGATCGTCGATCATCTCATTCCAAAATCATGGGCATTAATATGGAGTTGGTCCCCGCTTTGCTGCTATAACAGCCTCCACTCTTCTTGGAAGGCTTTCTGCTAGATGTTGGAACATTGCAGCGGGGACTTGCTTCCATTCAGCCACAAGAGCATTAGTGCAGTCGGGCACTGATGTTGGGCGATTAGGCCTGGCTCGCAGTCAGCGTTCCAATTCATCCCAAAGGTGTTCGATGGGATTGAGGTCAGGGCTCTGTGCAGGCCAGTCAAGTTCTTCCACACCGATCTCTACTAACCATTTCTGTATGGTCCTCGCTTTGTTGGAAGCACAGAATCGTCTAGAATGTCATTGTATGCTATAGCGTTAAGATTTCCCTTCACTGGAACTAAGGGGCCTAGCCCGAACCATGAAAAACAGCCCCAGAGCATTATTCCTCCTCCACCAAACTTTACAGTTGGCACTATGCATTCAGGCAGGTAGCGTTCTCCTGGCATCCGCCAAACCCAGATTCGTCCGTCGGACTGCCAGATGGTGAAGTGTGATTCATCACTCCAGAGAACGCGTTTCCACTGCTCCAGAGTCCAATGGCGGCGAGCTTTACACCACTCCAGCTGACACTTGGCATTGCACATGGTGATCTTAGTGAAGCTCCTGCTGAACAGTTCTTGTGCTGCCGTTGCTTCCAGAGGCAGTGTGGAACTCGGTAGTGAGTGTTGCAACCGATGACAGACTATTTTTAGGCGCTACGCGCTTCAGCCAGCGGTCCCGTTCTGTGAGCTTGTGTGGCCTACCACTTCGCGGCTGAGCCGTTGTTGCTCGTAGACGTTTCCACTTCACAATAACAGCATTTACAGTTGACGGGTAGCTCTAGCAGGGCAGAAATTTGACAACCTGACTTGTTGGAAAGGTGGCATCATATGACGATGCCACGTTGAAAATCACTGAGCTGATTTTATACACCTGTCAGCAACGGGTGTGGCTGAAATAGCCAAATCCACTAATTGGAAGGGGTGTCCACATACTTTTGTGTATATATACACAGTAGTGTACTTTACATTGTATGCGAGATCAGACATAATATCACTATAATCCGAGTGTTCATTTTCGGAAGTTGCTTTCATTTCAGTGCATCTAATTTGTAAGCATTTCAACTGTATTAAATTATAACGTTTTTCAATTCCACAAAAAAATATACACCCATCAAAATAAAGTTATCTTTCTTGTGATGTAAGTGTTGAGAAGATGCGTTAAATCCCAGTATTTACCGGGTGTGTTTGACAGGACATTACAAACATTCTCTGCGGTCGTAAAGTTAACTGGAAAAAAGGACAGAGTAAAATGAAAGCAATCGATCCAGAGAGATTTAAGTGCCAAGTGGATGTTGCACCCCTCAAACACAGGAAATAGATGGCTGAAAAAGACACATCCTCAGGTAGGCGGGGCATGTACGTTGCTACATACATACACACGCACACACACTTTTGAACTAATCGGTTGTGTGTTTCAGAGGAAAAGCTGGAAAAGGCGTTTCTTCATGCTGGACAACAATGCTGTCAGTTACTACAAGTGTGAGACGGTGAGGTCATATCCTGTCTCTCCTCTCCCCTCTCCTCTGTGAGTGGTTCTGGGTGGTAACTGTTGCTGTTTAAACCCCAGTAAGGTGTAATTACAGATGTCCTCAAATGGCTTTGGAGTAAATTCAAACCAAGACAATACATCGTGGGAAAAACATGTGTCCTCCATGTTTAAGTCTTTGTTTCTGCTTTGGTGTGGTGTGTGCTTCAGTGTCCTGTGTGACAGATGTGTTTCTGTCAGTGGAACAGAGTAAAGTTTGGGGTTTCTCTGATAAACGATGGCGTGTGTGTAACCTGTATTTGATATGTATTTCAGGATAAGGAGCCGCTAAGAGCGGTTCTTCTGAGAGACATTCAGAAGGTCCATGAGTGTCTGGTCAAATCTGGGTGAGAGTCACACTATCTCTATCACACACACACACACACACACACACAATCTCGCTGTCTTACCTAGTCATCTCTCTGTCAGGGACCTGCTGATGAGGGATAACCTGTTTGAGATCATCACCAGCTCTAGGGTTTTCTACGTCCAGGTAAGTGAGTGTGTACTTGTTTTCCTACCTTATCAGGACCCCAATGTCCTAACAATTCACCCGAATGGCCTTACAAGGTAGGAAAACAAGAACTTAAAAAAAAGTTTCCATGTCCTGAATCTGTTCAAATGCTATTTTAAGATTAAGGTTTAGGGTTTTTGGGTTTAGAGTTAAGGTTAGGGTAAAAATAAGAATAATTGTGTTTTATGGCTAAATACACTGGATAAGTGTGGTGAAATTTGTTGTTTTAAAGGGTCAGCCATAGTAGTATGGCACCGCTGGAGCAAATTAGGGTTAAGTGCTTTGCTCAAGGGCACATCGACAGATTTTTCATCTTGTCAACTCGGTTATTTGAACCAGCAACCTTTCAGTTACTGGCCCAACGCTCTAACTGCTAGGCTACCTGCCTGGGGTTAAAGAAAATAGCATTTTGAATGGTCAAACAAGTCCTGAAATTTCACGAAAATAAAGCTGTGTGTGTTCGTGCGCATGTATTGTCATCAGCTGGGCTTCCCTCTGTGTTGACTACTCTCTGGCTTCATGCTCTGTTGCTCATGTGTGGCCTTAGTTCTGTTTTTGGACAAACGGAAGGTTTGTGCAAACACTAACCATAAAACAACAACATCTCTTGTCCCCCCATGGGAGAACAGCTGACTAGGGGCAGGGGCCTTAGATCTGAGAGAGGTAACTGTGTGTGCTTACTTTGTTGTTTAAGCGTAATGTGTAAGCGTGTGCTGGTTTTGTTGCAGACAGACACTCCAGAGGACATGCAGGGCTGGATCAGAGACATTGAGGGGAAGATACAGGACTTCAGAGGCCCTGGCAAGGTAAAGGTGGATTTAAATGCCACTAACAGTTCCGACCAGTACTATTAGTGGTCCTGATGGCGCGCCCATACAAGTGTCATAGCACATCAGGGAGATGAGAAATTCTGATTCAGTGGGGGAATCACAAAATGGTGTCTCTTTCTTTCCCTCTCAGGGCTCTGCATTCACACGTGGCTCCTCTCTGTATCGCCCTGGTAACTCCTCACACCCACCCTCTGTGCTCCGTGGTCGTCAGGGAGATGACAAGAGATCCCCACTAGTGAAGTCATGTTCCGTGGCCCCGGGGTGGCAGCCCTGGACCCCCGTACCACAAAGAGAGGCTCCCGCACTGAGCACACTAGAAAAGGACGGTCCCTTTAGCTCTCTGCTGCCCAGTCTCTCCTCTCTCTCTCTCTCCACCTCCTCCTCCACCTCCTCATCTTTATCCTCCCTCTCCACTCCCACCCCACAGGGGGTCCCAGCTCCAGCCAGTGGTGTGGGGGTCCCAGCCTGCCCAGCCTGCCCAGGCACCATAGCCCCAGGCCCCTCCAGCAGCCGGAGGAGACACCGCTCTCAGCCTCAGCCCCCCACAGACCGCAGGTTCCCTTTCAGCCTGGACCACGATGGCATCCGCACCACCGACGTCTAGAACCAACATAACTCAGGATCCAACAATATGTAGAACCACCAACACCTAGAACCAAAATCTAGAGCAACAATGACACTTGTTTGAGTGCTTTTCCCTTTGAAAGACTAAACCTTCCCTCCCCCACCCCCTCTCCTCTGAGAGTTCCATAGGCCTGCTGCTGTAGCTGCGTCTGCTGGGGGTCTGTTTGCTGAAGTAGCCCACTCCCCCTCTCTCTCTGGAGGCCTGTGGCCCCCTGCTGGTATGGGAGGGTAGTGATGCAAACTGGGGTTCCTGGATGTGTTCTCTCAATGAGGGGTGTTAGTGGCTGTGGGCTTCTGGCATAAAGGGTGTCTTGGAGAGAGCAGTGTTGGGGAGACTGGGAGGGGTTATCAGTGTTGGAGTGTCTGGTGAACTGCGAAGGGGTACGTTATGTGTTATTGTACGATTTCCTCTTAACCTGAATGTAGTTCTCCCATGTACTGAGATGAAGGAAGGTTTGTGTTGTGGTAGAGCCCGGTCTGTCTTCCAAATACCCTCCAATAGTATTAGTCAGCTGGTCTTTTACCTGTATTAACCAAGGCTATGTCCCAATTGGCACCCTAATTCACTATGTCGTGCAGTACTTTTGACCAGATCATTATGGGCACGTGGAAATAAAGGTATCGAGGTTAAAGGAAAACTCCACTCAAAAACTATATTTTTACACAGTATTACACTAATATAATGAATATGGTGCCACTGCCAATTGGGACGCAACGCAAGAGTCCCATTCAATCCATAACCTGGTCATGGAATAGTGGCGATGTTAGTGTCTGTGGCTCTGCTTGTCTCTGTAGACAATCTTGTTCCCTTGTTAGACTATATCCAATTGCATTAAATTGCTACATCAGCAACACATTTTATATATATATACGCTTTTATTGTATTTCTGCACACTCTTCCACTAGCCGCATTCTCTTGCTCGAATGCAAATTATTTACCATTCCAGCGGGAGTGGAAAATATTTTGTGTGTCCCAGATTGTTCTAGCAATTCTCACACAGTAACTTCATTTGGAGGAAGGATGTTTGATATGCTTTACATTTGTATCACAAACTATTTTTTTTGAAAATCAGGATAAGTGGCCATTTTTAGACCTATACATTAGGGCTGGGATGATACCAGTATTGCGAAACTCATTAATAGCGTGGCAAGGAAACAAAATACGAAGGGGATTTAACTTCTTTAGGAAAACAGCCCTAAGGAAGGAAACAAACATCATGTTGTCATCCAGAGTCACAGTTATTTATTTTCCAAGCTGAAGCAAACTATTTTACATACAGCAGGTTTTTAAAGGACCGAAGAGTTTGGTCTGCTTCGTGTTTACATTTTTGCCATAGACGAAATATCACGATACTGCCCTGCTATACATGCCTCCAGCAAGACTCCTGTCTCCTGAGTGGCACAGTGGTCTAAGGCACTGCATCGCAGTGCTAACTGTGCCACTAGAGATCCTGGTTCGAATCCAGGCTCTGTCGCAGCCGGCCGCGACCGGGAGACTCATGGGCGGCGCACAATTGGCCCAGCGTCGTCCAGGGTAGGGGAGGGAATGGCCGGCAGGGATGTAGCTCAGTTGATAGAGCATGGCGTTTGCAACGCCAGGGTTGTGGGTTCGATTCCCATGGGGGGCCAGTATAAAAAAATAAAAATAAATGTATTCACTAACTGTAAGTCGCTCTGGATAAGAGCGTCTGCTAAATGACTAAAATGTAAATGTAAGACCCTATGATCTGTGAACCGTACATGATACAGACAACATCTGGGTGTCATTATACTCCTTATAGTGTTCTCTCAAATGTGGAGTATGTCACATTCATTTATTCAACATAAAAAATATTCATCTCAAAACGACAGTTTTTGATTTTGCTTATTTTTAGACATATTGTTTGTGACACACTTCAAACAAGTAACATTAACAATTTCTAGTACTTTTAATTATATGACCCATTTTATACATAGAAATTGACATTATAGGTCATTAACCAATCACAGCCCTACTATAGGATTGCGTATTCAGCAAGTCACCAGCAGAGGAAGTTCAGTTTGAATCGATTTTCCCATTCACTGTGTTGGTGGTGCTCATAAAATGTTATCATACCTTCAAAGTTATCAGAGAGCCCACTATGGAAATTTGATTTACTTGCAAAGCAGGTGTTCCCAAACTAGGGTGCGCGGGACCTTGCTTGATTTAAAGGGCACATTTGTATTGTTTTTTTCTTTACAATTCGTGATTGTTTATACCGATCTAAAACGACTCATAAATCCGCAATGCTTTAGGCTAGAAACAAGCGGTAAAATGCCAGAGGACGACGCGACTCTGATGCACATGAGCTACGACCTTATAAAGTCAAGGAGTCAAAGAAATTGGACTTTGCTTGGAAGGTAATCTTATACAATGTTTGACTGAGTATGCCAAACATTAGGAACACCTTCCTAATATTGTGTATTGATACAGACTCAATTCGTCGGGGCATGGACTCTACAAGGTGTCGAAAGCGTTCCACAGGAATGCTGGCCCATGTTGACTCCAATACTTCCCACAGTTGTGTCAAGTAGTCTGGATGTCCTTTGAGTGGTGGACCATTCTTGATACACACGGGAAACTGTTTCACATGAAAAACCCAGCAGAGTTGCAGTTCTTGACACAAACTGGTGCGCCTGGCACCTACTACCATACCCTGTTCAAAGGCACTTCAATCTTTTGTCTTGCCCATTCACCCTCTGAATGGCACACATACACAATGCATGTCTCAAGGCTTAAAAATCATTCTTTAACCTGTCTCCTCCCCTTCATCTACACTGATTGAAGTGGATTTAACAAGTGACAATAAGGGATCATAGCTTTCACCTGGATTCACCTGGTCAGTCTATGTCATGGAAAGAGCAGGTGTTCTTAATGTTTTGTATACTCTGTGTATAATTAAGTTGAGGGTTTATCATAATAAAACTTATTTCGTAGTGGTATAACATTTTGAATAAATCGGGTCTAGACTTTATTTTCCTATTATTTATTTATTTTATTATTATTATTATTATTACTATTATCATCATGAAATAACCTACCTAAAAGATGTCATGGGTCTTTGCTAAACTACGTAGAATTTAAGGAAATTAACTTAAAAACAACAACATTTTCCTGGGGTGGGGGGGGTTACATTTCTCAAATGTGAAAAGGGGGACCCTGGGGAAAAAAGTTGGGAACCGCTGTTGTAGAGTGTTGTTCCAAACAATGGTCTTAAAATGAACAAAATCTAAAAGGGTAGTTTTGAGATTCATATTTTTTATGTTGAATAAATGAACGTGAACATTTTTATTTCAGAATCAAAACATACTCCATATTTTAGAGCACACTAAAGTATTTGATCCCCTGCTGATTTTGTACATTTGCCCACTGACAAAGAAATGATCAGTCTATCATTTTAATGGTAGGTTTATTTGAACAGTGAGAGATAGAATAACAACAAAACAATCCAGAAAAACACATGTGAAAAATGTTATAAATTAATTTGCATTTTAATGAGGGAAATAAGTATTTGACCCCCTCTCAATCAGAAAGATTTCTGGCTCCCAGGTGTCTTTTATACAGGTAACGAGCTGAGATTAGGAGCACACTCTTAAAGGGAGTGCTCCTAATCTCAGTTTGTTACCTGTATAAAAGACACCTGTCCACAGAAGCAATCAATCAATCAGATTCCAAACTCTCCACCGTGGCCAAGACCAAAGAGCTCTCCTAGGATGTCAGGGACAAGATTGTAGACCTACACAAGGCTGGAATGGGCTACAAGACCATCGCCAAGCAGCTTGGTGAGAAGGTGACAACAGTTGGTGCATTTATTCGCAAATGGAAGAAACACAAAATAACTGTCAATCTCCCTCGGCCTGGGGCTCCATGCAAGATCTCACCTCGTGGAGTTGCAATGATCATGAGAACGATGAGGAATCAGCCCAGAACTACACGGGAGGATCTTGTCAATGATCTCAAGGCAGCTGGGACCATAGTCACCAAGAAAACAATTGGTAACACACTACGCCGTGAAGGACTGAAATCCTGCAGTGCCCGCAAGGTCCCCCTGCTCAAGAAAGCACATATACAGTGAGGGAAAAAAGTATTTGATCCCCTGTTGATTTTGTACGTTTGCCCACTGACAAAGACATGATCAGTCTATAATTTTAATGGTAGGTTTATTTGAACAGTGAGAGACAGAATATCAACAACAAAATCCAGAAAAACACATGTCAAAAATGTTATGAATTGATTTGCATTTTAATGAGGGAAATAAGTATTTGACCCCTCTGCAAAACATGGCTTACTACTTGGTGGCAAAACCCTTGTTGGCAATCACAGAGGTTAGACGTTTCTTGTAGTTGGCCACCAGGTTTGCACACATCTCAGGAGGGATTTTGTCCCACTCCTCTTTGCAGGTCTTCTCCAAGTCATTAAGGTTTCGAGGCTGACGTTTGGCAACTCGAACCTTCAGCTCCCTCCACAGATTTTCTATGGAATTAAGGTCTGGAGACTGGTTAGGCCACTCCAGGACCTTAATGTGCTTCTTCTTGAGCCACTCCTTTGTTGCCTTGGCCCTGTGTTTTGGCTCATTGTCATGCTGGAATACCCATCCACGACCCATTTTCAATGCCCTGGCTGAGGGAAGGAGGTTCTCACCCAAGATTTGAAGGTACATGGCCCCGTCCATCGTCCCTTTGATGCGGTGAAGTTGTCCAGTTCCCTTAGCATAAAAACACCCCCAAAGCATAATGTTTCCACCTCCATGTTTGACGGTGGGGATGGTGTTCTTGGGGTCATAGGCAGCATTCTTCCTCCTCCAAACACGGCGAATTGAGTTGATGCCAAAGAGCTCGATTTTGGTCTCATCTGACCACAACACTTTCACCCAGTTCTCCTCTGAATCATTCAGATGTTCATTGGCAAACTTCAGACGGCCCTGTATATGTGCTTTCTTGAGCAACACACTACGCCGTGAA